TAGTGATTCCGCTGCGCCTTTCCCTTAGGCATCCATCATGGTCAGTCCTTGCCTAAATGACTGGCTGTCGTTGCTTCTTGATTCTGCCTGTTATATCCGCCTAACGTCGTTGGTGCTGTAACAGTAGTATATAGGCATATTACTATAAGAAATATCTTAATTAGGGCCGCACAAGCACCTCTATAGTATAAATATATTAAGTAATAGGTTAAACTACTTAGTTAAGATGGTATACTAAAAGTATATAATATAAATTAATTAATTACAGTAAGGAAGGCCAAAGAGGCTGTTCTGGAGGAGAAGAGATTATAAAGGTAGTAGGAGAAAGTATATAGTAAGAAGCCACCACCAGCACCTATATAAGAGAATAAGGTATTAAATAGATTAGCAGAGGCAGCAGATGAGAATGGTGATTTTTTTTGGATAGATAAACCCTAGTATAGCCTCAAAAATATGATTTTGTTGAGAAATCTACGGTTACGGTGATATCTACGGTTATGGTGCGCATGGCACAGATACCAGATGACCCAGAAGTCAAACCTTGCTTGTATCATTAGCTTTTTGCTTATTCCATCCTAAGACACAAGCGTTATCCCTGCTGACGTGAGAAACTTTCCCTCATGCAAGCACAAGAATATCTATCTAATAGTAATGGGTGGTTGTCTTCAGGCGACCAGGAAAACAACGCATCCACACCCACCACCAGTAATAGGTATGCAGGTCTCCACCCACCCTCGGCCCTGACCTTTATCTCCGGCCCACATGCACATCATGGTAAAGGTATAAACAAGCATGAATCCCATCCTGCTTCAAGACTCTACACAAACCGAATCACAACCACACCATGGGCCCTCCATCAAAACCCCAGACAATCGCCCACCGCGGCAAAACCAAACACCCAAGCTCCACCAACCCCCGATCCTCCCACTACCCCGAGAACACCCTCGAGGCCTTCCGCGCCGCCGCCGCCGCCGGCTGCGACGCCATCGAGACGGACCTCCGCATCTCCCGCGACGGGGTCATCGTGCTCTGCCATGATCGCTCGCTGGAGCGGTGCTATGGGGTGAAGAGGTTCGTCGACGAGTGTCCGTGGGAGGAGCTCCAGACCCTGCAGACCGCGCAGGCGCCGCACGTGCAGATGCCGCGGCTGGTGGATTTCCTAGCGCTGCTTTCTGAGCCCGGGTGGGAACGGTTGTGGGTGTTGTTGGATATCAAGGTACAGTATAGTATTCTATTCTATTCTACCGGAGTGCAACGATACTGACCGGAATAGGTGGATAATCTCCCCGAACGGATCATACCGCTTCTTGTGCGGGCGTTCGAGTCGGTGCCCTGTTCTACGCCGTGGTCGGAACGCGTCGTGCTCGGGTGCTGGTCGTCTGCGTACTTCCCGCTGTGCGAGAGCCGTCTCCCCGGTTTCGAGACTGCGTTGATCTGCTTCGATCTGTGGTATGCGCGGCGGGTTCTGCGTGGGAGCGGGGCGTCGGTCAATGTCAATCAGAAGGTGCTGATGGGCATGGGGGGCGGGTTTCTGGTGGAAGCGCGCGCCGCGGGTCGGCGGGTGTTTGTGTGGACTGTGAACGAGCCGGGTTTGATGCGGTGGTCGATCGATCGGAAGGTCGATGGGGTTATTACGGATGATCCGGGACGGTGTCGGGCTATGGTACTGGATGCGACGAAGGGTACGAGTCCGCTGGGGATTCGAGACGGCGAGAAAGTCACTGTTTCGCAGAGGGCCCAGGCATGGGCTATTTCGCTTCTGGTAGTCATGTTTGGATGGCTCTTCCGACGGAGATTGTTGTCTAAATTGGAGAAGCGAAACAAGAGCGAGTAGATAAGAGTTCACATTAATCATTAAACATCCTATTCACATGGCCGACCGAATACCAAGTATGTTACACCAAGTATGCACAAGCAAGAGTATCGACTGAAAGGCAGGGCTTCTGAAGTGACAGTGGGGGATATATAGCGTATGAACAATAAATGTGAAGAATTGAAGTGAAAAAGCAAGGGTATATAACGGTCCAGACGGGATCAAGAACGAGTGAAATAAATCCAAAATATGTAGACCGCGAAGATGAGCGGGTAGAGCATTACTTTCGCCCAAGGTTCGATCAACGATGTCCCTGGTTCATCAGGACAAATTGAACAGAAAAATGGGAGATCATGTCATCATTAACCGGGTCGTCCGCCTTTCCGGGAACCGTCGGGCGCCCGCAGGGGAAGGCCCACGTGGCACATCCAACATTCCGGGAGGGCGACGAGAGCCAGGACCAGGACCTGGGCCCAAGCCAGGACCAGGGCCAGGGCCAGGGCCAGGGCTGCGTGGATACCCCGAAGGCATCGGGGGGTAGTTGGGGGGATGTGCCGCCAACGGGGAGGATGGTAGGGTCGGTCGGCGCATGCGATGGGGCGACATGGACGCAGCAGCCCGACGAGCATCGCGTTCGCAGTATACTCTGCCGTTCCATTCAAAGTACTCGCCCTTCAGAGGAATCCAGCAGGTTCGACAGGTCAAACATTCGGGGTGGAACTTTTTGTGATCCGCCGGCCCAGGGCCGCTTCTCTCGTTCGTTTCGAGGTACTGGCCTTCGATACCCTTGTTGCATGCACTGCAAAGGGATCCGTTCAGTTCGTGATAGTGCTGCGCACAGTATGGGCGGTCATTCAGGACGTAGAAATCGGCCGTCTCGAATGGTGATCGGCAATGACAGCAAACGAAACATTCGCGGTGGTATCGCCCAGTCAGGCGGCCATCCTTGGACGATACTGATTTTCCCAAAATCGCCTCGCCGCATCCCCTACAACGCCCTTTTGAACGAGTTGGCGGTCGAACGGGGGGCTCTGTCGCCGATCGAGTAATCGTGGGCCGTACTGGAGGCTCGTCTCGAGATCCGTGAGCTTCGTGAGGTACTCGAGGTTCGCGCGGTTGCTGAGGAATTTTGGGTGCCTTTTCTGCCACCAATGACAAACTGCCTTGACTGATGGCTGGGTCGGTTGGGGAGTCGGGACTGAAAAGTGAAGCTGGAATTCGTGGGGGTTCGAGATCAATAGGACTTTCGGTCTGCTCGGTTTCGGGCAGCATTGTTTGCGGATTACCCTTCGCCTGCAGCTCTTCGACGACTCCCAGTCGGCTCGTCTCTGACGGCTTTCGTCTTGACAGGCTCGCTTCCGAAGGAAGACTGGAAATCGAGGTTCCGCTTCGTGTTTCAGAGGGCGACGACTCAGAAGAAGTCGAGTTGTCTGCCGCATCGGGAAAATCGAGTCCTAGAGCACGAGCAAACTTGGAAACAGAGGTATTGCTTTCACTGCTCGCATGTGTGCCTTCCCTCGACACCTCCTTGGGCTCAGATTGCGGGACGGCGGGTTGTAGAAGGTCTGGCCCTGAGGGGCGGAATGCTTTGTATGACACGTTGGCGGAGGACGAGGATGACGATCGTGCTTCAGCGGGATCAAGCCAGTCAGCGGGCAAGCCAAACGAACTCTGCGATGGGCTTCGGAAGAAGAGCTCAGCGGAGCCTCGCGTGCTGCTAAGACGGTCTGAATGCGTGTGAGATGATACACGCAATGGATCAGGAAATGGTTTCTCGGCGGTTGCTACCCCGAAATCGAAGCCGCTGAAGCTGTTGCCCTTTGCGTCATGCTTCTGACTTTCCGTCCCAGCTGATTGCTCGACTGAGGACGAATGCTCAATCAAGGGTTCTAGATGGGTTGCGCGGACAGATGATGCCTCTTCCGTATATTGATGTGACTCTTGAGCAATACTTCCGAATGAGGGTCGTCGACTGGACATGGCAGTCGATCGCTTGGAGCTGTTTTCGCCATACCGAGTACTCGCGGCGGATGTTCCGTAACTACTCCTGCTGTCAATCGAGTCTCCATGTCTATGGGTGAATGCTTGAGCAGGAGGTACATCGTGTTGTTTCGTCGAAGGCGGGGGGGAACGTCCTCTCTCAAACCCTGACAGGCGCGCACTCTGTGGAGGCAGCGGAGCCTCTCTACCCATCGCATGGGCAAATTGTGGGGAGGGCACTGGTGGTGCGGTTTGGGCTATTTGCAACTGAGACAGAGAAGCATTTCGTTTTTTGGACATCGATCGTGGCAAGGGGAAGGCCGGCAAATCGCCAACTGGTTTGATCACATCAGGGGAATCAGGTTCATCCAGAAAGGGGGAGATGCGGTTCCTTTGCTGCAAATATGGCGACCGTTGTCCTGTTGATACTGAAAGTGGAGATGGGGTCAGAGAGTCCTTTTCACTCTTTGATAGATCTTCGTTGGGGTGCAAGAACGGTCGATCTAGTAGATTCAGTCACATCAGTCCATGTCTTTTGATTGGAAAAGAAAACCTCGACGCTGTATCCATAACATACTCGCTAATAAGGGATCGATGCGCGGTGGAGGCCCCGGTCGTCCCAGCCTGGGTCCAGACGGGTTCCTCAAGTGTGTCGAGACTGTCGCAGAGTCGGACTTCGGGGGAGGCGATGGAGGGGGCGGAGATGGAGGTGCTTTGACAGAGTCAGTAACGCTGGTAGACAATTGATATATTTCACAGTCGAGTAGCTACCTGGCCCAGGTTTGCAGACATGATCTCCCATCTCCGAGATCTCGACACTCATCCCACAGTTGGAGCATTTGATGGTGGGCAACAGGCCCGCGTCCATTAGTCCCGCCATGTCGACCGACAAGAGGTCTACAGGATATACGGATCACTGATATTGTTCGTTCATTGAATTGATAAACAGGCACAGAGGCGAATGTATTCCTCCGATCAAGCAGTAGCCGTCATCTGTTCGATTTGCTCGATCTACCAAAACTGGTCACCATACACGTAGGGATCCCTGCTCGTTTTGCATCGAAGACTGATATTTCTTCTTCTTGTTCTTATTGCCCGGCAGGTCGAATCCTGCGGTTAAAGTCGTCAAACCAAACCAGGAATAGCGCAATAATCAATGCTCGAGATGCATAGAAGTAGTAGTAGGTACATGTCAAACTGCAAGGAGTGGAGGAAGAGGAAAATGGATGATAATAATAGTTCAGTTCTGTTGGAGGGCCGGGTTTCTGTCGAGTGGGACCAACTGCGAATGATGGCCCTCGTGTGACGATCCAGAACTTAGTGTGCTTTTGTTTTCTACGGCGCGGCCCCAATCAGGAGTAGCTCAGGATAACACGCGTTCTTGAACTTGTGTTAGTCTTTTGATCTTCTGTATTTTTCTCGCGGCAGAAGTAGGCTGTTGGCGGATTAAAGTAAATGATCGAAGCTACGAGATGTTTGGTTTGCCTGAGGCGTCCATCTCTGATTGGGTGATGATATTTTCCGTTTTGGCCCTTCTGGGGACTCACGCCCCTTTTCCCATGAACCACACACCATATTGGCCTCTGTTTCTTGAATCCTTCCGACCTTCCATGACTCTTTCAGATAATTCTGGGTTTCTGATCGAATGGAACATCACTCAATTCGTCCGAATTAATTGAGAGACTAACCGGGTTTGGAGGAGGCTGCGGGTTTACTCATGATTGTGCCTTGGCCTCTCAGGAAGTTCCATGACAACCCCTGAACCAAGAACCACCGAAACTGCAAAGCCGCCGATCGTTCCTCAGGGGCAACTGGTCACTCTACTGTCAATCCATTGGCTGTCAATAAATCAGCCCTGTTCCTCTTTGGTACGAAACTCTGAGGTTGTATCCATAATCCAACCCTGATGGTGCACGAGCCTCTTGGGTGATTCCTGATCCATTTAGCTTGTGTTTTCTTGCCGCTTATGTTGATATGATTACCTAGGAACAATGCTCTCTCTTATTGCTGAATCCTTCATCTGTCTTGTGACATAATACTCTGGACTCAGAGGTTACTTGCAGGCACCTCTGGAGGTTGTTCGGGCGGCTTTCGTTTGTGTTTAGGTGATAGCTTCCTTCGCTGCAAAGATGTGGACCTGCCTTCCGCCTCGAGGCAAGGGGCGCAAAGTTAACCAGCGATGGTAGCTGCACTCAGCTGTCACGATGTGGGATAAGGAGTCGATCGCGGGACATCAACGGAGACTTCCAAGTCGGTTGAGGATGACTGCAGATTCGAGCATATCATCTCACCGGCCAGGCTTCTGGAAGGTCAGATTGCCGCATTTTTGAGAGACCAAGACATTGCCGGATACTCCAGATGATTGAAATTCAAAATACAGGTTGTACCATGGTTGCGTGAAAATCACTTTTCGACCTTGAGCTTCAACTATGAAAGACCAAACTATCGATGAGTCTTGAGACTCTTCCTTCAACTGCAGGAAGATATTCGTGGCCGTTCCATCTCCTAACCAATCGGCAAATATGCAGATTGTGATGGCTCTTTTCAGTCGATGAGCTCACATCTCCATTGCCCCTGGCATCTGATAGTCTTCGATGAATTCCAGCACCCTCATGGATTCGAGGCTCAGGAGTTGGGGAGCTCGGTTCTCTTTCTGGCAAGTCGGCACTTTGAAAGACAGCGCATACAAATTCTCTTAAATTCATACACGCGATCAACTCGGTCTTGCGATTGTATGATTAGCTAGTAGCTTGAGACCTCATAGGCAGAAGAGCTGGGGCACTAGAATGACTGTCCGTGGTTTATCATCGTATCTCTTACAATGGACGTTTATGACTGCAAAGTGGACTTGGATCTAGCGATAGTCTGGCATATTGATGCATTACTGTATCTCAAGCTTGCATAAACAATTATGACCTGAGTGAGGCCGTCGTGTTAATGTAACCATGGAACATCCAGCCGGGCTTCCCGCCTACTGCACACCGCAACATTCCAGGGGCAGCACCATCAAGAGGGCCATCCTTACTCCGTCCTCCCCGGTCTTCAGGCATTCGTACACGAATTCTGATAAATATATCTCTTCTGTATACTCCGTACTAGCATGAGAATCAAATTCTTTGATCTTTGCTTGCCTTCATTGAACCATCCGCGTTTTTCAATGTGCGAGACGGCGAGTCTGGCCCCGCGAGGCCAAGACCAGCTCCAGTCTTCTCCGTATCTGCTCCGTACTCCATCCATACTCCGTAGACCGCCAATTCCAAAGCGGAGCAACACTGCAACAGTAAACTGTTTTCGTCCTGGTCAATAACACTCGGCCCACTCTGTTCGCAAGCGATGCAAGCGCAGACCACATGTTGTCCTTTACTCCTGAATCTGATCTCGATGCGTTGTCTCATTTTCTCAGAGACATTCTCAATCTAGGCACGTTCCATGTGCTCAATTGCCTGTTGTCAGTTGTCAGTCGAACTACTAGTATCAAAAGACATGAGACACTATTCATGAAGTCTGTCACTTGTCCACTGTGGCTCGCGAGTTCAGTGGTAGATAAAGGACTAGGCGGACTAGCTTTGAAAAACGACAGCAAAGATTGAGATTGACGGAACAGTGGCGCCCGACCTGCATTCTTGGAACCTCGAATAATAAATGTTAACTTAGCGTCAGTGTAGTCTAGCGAGGAACAGCGTGTGCTCGGCACGCAGGCAGCAATTTGTTGGGAGCTTCATCAACAGTCGACTATCCATTGATTATCAAGGATCAGGTAGCAATCAATGAGCAAAGATCCCGAAAGAATATACAAAGCAAAGTGTTGCTTCGATCTGTACGAAGGCAATTACATTAGTATTATGGACAGTAGGTACTAATGGAGGGGTACCTGGAGGGGCACGAGACACTGTACTTTTGATGATAGTAATCCACACCGCAACTGACTAGATATTCACTGATTCTTGCTTTCTGTTTTCATCGTTATTCACTAGCAAGTCACTACTGTCAACCCGGGGCTAATTGGCGTAGAACCTTGGGGAATATTCACAGAGATGGGGAGTGGGTTGCGGAGCAGAGCGGGAGACATCGTGACTAAGGAGTGTCGTAGTCCGCTTTAAATATCCTTCCGTTTTCCCTCGTCTCCCCCTCGGTCTTTCTTCCTTCTCCCTCAACACATCGTACATCAGCTTCTGTTCCCCAGTCCAAGAATTTCCTGGTTCTAAGCTTCCTGATCACTCTCTCTGAGGCGTGATCGCTTAAAAACCGTCAAAATTTTCGGCACACTTCTCAACTCGTAAGTACTCCGTCATACCTGGATGTTTTCCCGTCTCCAGGTCAGGGAGCTCAATTGAGCTTTCTTTCCTCGACTTGCGAGTGAATATTGTCACAATTGATCCAAGCTGACATGCTTTGTCTCTAGGCGTCACCACCCGTTCAACGGCCGGCGCTCATCCTCTCGTGGTGGAGCACCGGATAGTTCACTGTACATCCAGTAAATCACTCGAGCTTTAGCAGAATAATCAAAGTTCCGACAAGTTTCAACGCAATGGCTCCCCACGCAAGCTCGGATGTTGCCGCCAATGGCGCCGTGAACGGGTCGGCTCGTGCCACCAGCGCTCCTCTCTTCACCGTCAACTCGCCCAACGTTGAATACACTGACAACGAGATCAAGAGTCAGTATGCTTATCACACCACTGACATTGCTCGCAATGCCGATGGCAAGATGGTCGCCACTCCCAAGGTGACCAACTACCAGTTCAAGGTTGACCGTAAGGTCGGCAAGGTTGGTGTGATGATGGTCGGTTGGGGTGGAAACAACGGATCCACTGTGACTGCTGGTATCATTGCCAACCGCCGTGGCCTCGTCTGGGAGACCCGCGAAGGCGAGCGCGCTGCCAACTACTACGGCTCCGTTGTCATGAGCTCCACCGTCAAGCTGGGTACCGATCGCAAGACTGGTGAGGAGATCAACATTCCGTTCCATGACATGCTTCCCATGGTCCACCCCAATGATCTTGTCATTGGCGGTTGGGACATCAGCAGCATGAACCTTGCCGATGCCATGGATCGGGCCCAGGTTCTTGAGCCAACCCTCAAGCAGCTTGTCCGTAAGGAGATGGCCGAGTTGAAGCCCTTGCCCAGTATTTACTATCCGGACTTCATTGCCGCCAATCAGGAAGACCGTGCAGACAACGTCATCGAGGGCGACAAGGCCTGCTGGGCTCACGTCGAGCGCATCCAGAAGGACATGCGGTGAGTGCAACCAACCTGATCCAATGATGTGAGATGCTAACAAATGCAATAGTGACTTCAAGGCTCAGAACGGCCTGGACAAGGTCATTGTCATGTGGACTGCCAACACCGAGCGCTACGCCGATATCATTCCCGGTGTCAATGACACTGCGGACGACCTGCTGAACGCCATCAAGACCGGCCACCTGGAGGTCTCTCCTTCTACCGTTTTCGCGGTGGCTTGTATCCTGGACAACGTTCCTTTCATCAACGGATCGCCCCAGAACACTTTCGTTCCCGGTGCCATCCAGCTTGCTGAGAAGCACGGTGCCTTCATCGGTGGTGATGACTTCAAGTCTGGCCAGACCAAGATGAAGTCTGCTCTGGTTGACTTCTTGATCAACGCCGGTATCAAGCTCACCTCCATTGCCAGCTACAACCACCTGGGCAACAACGACGGCAAGAACTTGAGCTCTCAGAAGCAGTTCCGTTCCAAGGAGATCTCCAAGTCCAATGTTGTTGACGACATGGTTGCCGCCAACCACCTCCTCTACAAGGAGGGCGAGCACCCCGACCACACTGTTGTCATCAAGTACATGCCCGCTGTCGGTGACAACAAGCGTGCTCTGGATGAGTACTACGCCGAGATCTTCATGGGTGGCCACC